TCGTGGCTCCATCGCGTTCTCCGCCCCTGCAGCATCACCCTCCACCTCCACCCACTCGCGCTCGCCTCCCACCGCCACCACCAGGCCCTCCCCCTCCTTCGGCGATGCGTCTTCAACCCCCGGTGAACCAAGAGATGGAGGCTCCTGCTGCGGATGCGTCCTCAAGTCGGGGGTTGGTGGTGGCGGCTGTCCGCCGCTCGTTCACCCAAGCTGAGGCGAAGAGGCGGCTCTACAGGAACGGCATCATCGCTGTGCCCATGGCCACCTGTCCTGGCCTTGAGCTGGTGGATGTCAAGCGTGCCATGGCGATCAGGTTCAAGGTCAATGAAGATGCGATCAAGGCCTCCATCCGTGTCACCGGAGAGTACCTCCTTGTCTTCGACGACGCCAGGTGCGGGATGAGGCGCTCCGGATCCAAGGGCCGCTACACCTGGGGAGGGTTTCCTTCTCGCTCTCCCCCTGGTCGCGGTTTCGCCGAGCTTCGGTGGCCAAGATGCGGTACAAGGTGCGTGTTTCCCTGGAGGGGGTGCCGGAACACGGGTGGGACGTGGAGACTGTGACACCCCTGTTCGACCGCTCCAACATCATCAAGGGGCTGTACCCGGAGGTTCGCTGGGAGGAGCTCCGCGTTGGCACATGTGTCACTCATCCAACGGTTGAGATGGCCTATGATATGTTGACACGTGGGCCGGCCCAAAAGTGGCCCACAAAGTTTAAATGGGCCGGCCCAACTGAAGGCCCATAAGATTTAGCGGGCCATAATAGGCCGACCCAGCTAAAGACCCACAAAATTTAGCGGACCATAATGGTCCGGCCCAGCTAAAGGCCCACGCGAATTTGTAGACCATAATGGGCCGGCCTAGCTAAAGGCCCACAAGATTTTGCAGACCACAATGGGTCGGCCCAGCTAAAGGCCCACAAGATTCTGCAGAGCATAATGGGCCGGCCAAGCTAAAGGCCCAACATTCTCTATCAAATCGGCCCGTCAACGGCCTGTCCTAAACTTGTCATCAATGCGGCCCATGGTCACTTCTGGCCTGTAACTGTCCGCTAAGTAATTGGGCCGAATTACGGCCCGGTGTATTTCCGGCCTGTTAAAGGTCCGACTTCATTTGGGCCCATTTACAGGCCATCAAAACTTTCGGCCCGTAAACGACCGTAAAGGATTTGGGTCATATTCGGCCATGTCTGACATTCGGCCTGTTAGAGGCCCGCTATAGATTTGGGCCACTTTCGGCCTGTTGTCATTTCCGGCCTGTTAATGCCGGACGTAAACCATGGGCCATATGTGGCCCAACGTCATATCGGGCCCATTAACGACCCATATAAAAATGACGATAATCTAGCCCGACCAAAGTTCCGGCCCGTTAAAGGCCTGTGTATTAGGTCAGCACATTTACGGCCCGTCCGAATTTCGGCCTGTCAAAGATCCGCATCGTAAATGGGCCACCGTTTCGGCCTGCTAAGTCCAGTGGGTTATTTGGCACAATCAGGGCCCAATCTCACTTTCGGTCTATTAAAGTCCCATGTTTTTTATGGGCTCGAGATATTTACACCTGTAAACGGCCTAATTTTACCGAGGGCCCAAATTATGTTTAGCCCTGTTAAATGCCCACTATGGGCACATGCTTACCAGAAAAATATGAAAGCTTATGCTGATTTAGGCCCAGATATTTTTAGTGGGCTACATGCCAATTTCGGCACATAATCATTTTTAGCCCAATTGGAATGGGCCCGATGAATGTTGGCATGTTGGGCTCCTACGAAGCTTTCGGCCGAATACATTACTAAGATAAACCTACACTATACAAAAATAGCGTCGTAATTACTGCAGCCTGTGGCAGCATCATAAATGTTGTATCACAACAAAA